CTGTAGCTGTCAAATACTTGTATATAATTACCTATTGATCAATATAATGGGACACACGATTGTATTTTCATCACTTTGTTATCTTGCGTGATAGGGCACTAGCAGCTTGGCTAAATATTGAGTTGCCAAAATGTTCACAATGAGGAAAAGAAAATAGCATCTAACCTATTCTCAAGGACATCAAGAAAAAGGCCATTAATTGGTTGTTCTTGTTGCTCAGCCAACTGCTAAGTTCTTGCACCATTGATCAACTCAAATATTTCTGCAAGCACACCAATAACCGTCCAACTGGTGCCAAAGATCACCTTCATTACCTTACTTATATGAGTCTCTTGAAACAACATGTCCCTGAATGGTTCGCTTAATTCTTGATTTAGCCGTACAATTCTTGATTATTCTTGTTTATTCTCTTAATTTGACTTCAAATAGATATAACAAACTCATCTCCAGTTACCCTTTATATACTTGAAGACTCTTTGTTTTCACTTTCAACCAGTCACAACACTTTAGTTTCTTTTTCTTCTTCGTGCAGAGCCGCAACTATCTTTTGCAAAATAATATTCGCATTATCATAGGGAGAGTGAAGTGCAAGAAATGCTAGCAAGAATTCGAGATGCTGCTTGATCTAGAGGAGAAAGTGTCTACATTACGAGAATTCGTTGATAGGGAAAGAGAGACCTTGCGTGATAGGGCACCACGGGCTTCGATAAATCCGGAGTTGCCAAAATATTCGCAATACGGAAAAGAAAATAACATTAAATCCATTCTCAAGGACATAAAGAAAAAGGCCATTAAATGGTTGTTGTAGTTGCTCAGCCAACTGCTAAGTTCTTGCACCATTGATCAACTCAAATATTTCTGCAAGCACACCAATAACCGTCCAATTGGTGCCAAAGATCAACTGGTACCAAATTAATTGGAATAATTAACTTGGTGTACATTTTGTCCGTTTTAATTTGGCGTAAATTTTGTCCGTTTTAATTCTCCTTTATTGCAGAATAATGTCAAATCATATCAACGATATGAGGGAGATAATTTAGCTTGTAGTTTAAGATCTGTAGCTGTCATATACTTGTAAATAATTACCTATTGATCAATAGAATGGGACACATGATTCTACTTTCATAACTTTGTTATCTTGCGTGATAGGGCACTCGCGGCTTGGCTAAATCCGGAGTTGCCAAAATGTTCACAATGAGGAAAAGAAAATAACATCTAACCTATTCTCAAGGACATCAAGAAAAAGGCAATTAATTGGTTGTTCTTGTTGCTCAGCCAAATGCTAAGTTCTTGCACCATTGATCAAGTCAAATATTTCTGCAAGCACACCGATAACCGTCCAACTGGTGCCAAAGATCAACTGGTACCAAATTAATTGGAATAATTAATTTGGTGTACATTTTGTCCGTTTTAATTTGGCGTATATTTTGTCCGTTTTAATTCTTCTTTATTGCAGAATAATGTCAAATCATATCAAGGATATGAGGGAGATAATTTAGCTTGTAGTTTAAGATCTGTAGCTGTCATATACTTGTATATAATTACCTATTGATCAATAGAATGGGACACACGATTGTATTTTC